GAGCTTCCGTATGGAGTCTATGCACCTCCTTGCCTCCTTCTTGCCCCCTTGCCAATCCTAGATTGGATTGGAAGGGTTTTATTGAAGCGATTTTTGAAAACAACCGGAGGAATCGACAGGCACGTTCAGCAGCCACCGTGAAATTCCTTCTCCTTGCTCCCTCTACCCCGTCCGGTAAGGGCTCCCTCCCTCCCGAGGAGGGAGGGAGCCCTTACGTCCCGATTCAGTGCCATTCCGTATTTTCGAGCCTTTTTCCGTGCTTCTCCTGCCGCGTGGTCTTCATATAATCGTGTGGAATGCTCTAATGCCCACACCAAATCAACTTTTCCCAAAGACGAAATGAAAGTTTATTCCACAACATTTTAGCAAGAATATGAAATGGCGGCGCACCAGATGACAGGCGGTCCTTCGCGACGGAAGAGAGGCCCGAATTTCCACTCAAACCCACACCAAATCAACGTTTCCAATTCACGAAATGAAAATTTATTACACATCACTCTGCAGATTCTAAAAGCAAGGTACGACGCGCGACGCTCAGCGACCGCGCCGGGGAGCCGACCGGCGAAGGACGTCGGCCACGCGCCGGATGTCCGCGTCGTCCAGCGCGGAAGAGACGACCAATCGGATGCTCGGAGGTGGCATGCACACGTCCTCGTCCTCCACGTAGCAGGCTGAAGTCAGGGCCACCCCCATCTCCTCTGCCTGTTCCCCGCGAATGGATGGAGAAAAGAAGAATGGCAGGTGGATGTACTCTCACTCGCTTCTTTCCCCCCGATGGAAAACTGCATTCAAGGAAAGAAAGCAAGAAGTGGACCGCGAACCCTGTCGACCATCTTTTGCAGAGCTCTCGAATCATCTTTCAAATTCTCCGAACGGTCCTTAAACTGCAGGTGCTTGACCGGCGACACGGCATCCCCGACCAGCTCCATCCCCGGCACATCCCCCCACTCCACGTGCGCCTGGGAACAAACACGGACCATCGGGAAAACCGCGACAGCGACATGGTGTCATTCGAAAGAGACGGACCTGAAGACAGTTCCGCCTGAGTCTCTCGATGGCTGCGATCCCGCGACTCGATTCGATGTATTCGAGGGCCGCCAGGGCTCCCGCTGCTAGCAGTGGGGGGAGAGCCGCCGAGAAACAATACCCTAAAACACGTAAAACACGTCTCTCCATCGCACTTGGTGCTTCCAATTGGAAAACCCGAGGAAGACTTGCCATGTCCAGAGATGCGTTGGTTGTCGACGATGAAGGAAGTGCCGACGCAGAAGCCCCCTACGCTCGACAGCGCGTATTCCAACGTTCCAGTGATCAAATCCGCCTCCGAGTTCTGCACGAAACACCCTCGTCGTAAGTGTCTCACGATACCGGATTTTGACGCAGACCTCAATTGAAAAACGATTCAACGAATGAAACGTACCGGGATGCCATAGTGCTCGAAGATTCCACGTCCGGTCTTTCCGAGTGTCCCAAAGGAAATGCTCTCGTCGACGAGCAGTCGCACCTTGAACTGCCTTCTCAGCTCCACGATCCTCGGCAGACGACACAGATCCCCGGTGTTCATGTAAATTCCTTCCACGACCAAAAATC